AGCAGGTAAACAAACCGGCCCAGCCCACCAGGGGACTTACCCTGGCGAGCTGAGTGCCAAAGATTGCCGATCCCTGACTTAAGTTTTAGATGTAGACCAGGCCTGAGTGCTTTCAACAACACGGCCTGTAGTTTTTTGAATGCCCTCTCGTGGCAGTTCTCGTTACGGTGCTTCTCAGTACAAGAAATGCCTTGTAGATACAATTATTCAGAATGCCTAGCAGGATGAGTCTGTGGTTGGAGAATGGAAAGTAGAGCATAGCGGAGTGTTAACAGCAAGCTTTAAAGCTGTGTCTTTCCTTATTTAAAAACATCCTAATGTGACTGCATGCACGCAGCACACCTGCACAAGGCGCACATGCAAGCAATGGACGGACTTTGCTTTTATGCCCGGCATTTTGTAGCTAAAGATGACTGAGTCTTAATTATAGATTCTTTCTACATCCTTCAATTATTCTTATAACTGGCTTATTAAATCCAAACAAATTCAAATGAGGAATAAGGCGCAAAATTGATTAACCACTGGAACAAACTCCCAAGGGAAGTGGTGGATTCTCCGTCTTTTAATGTTTTCAGATCAAGTCTGGATGCTTTTCGGAAAGAGATTTTTTAGCCAAACACAAGTTGTTGCTTTCAGTACAGAAGTTCTCTGGCTGTTCTACAGGGGGTCAGACTAGATGATCTAATGGTTCCTTCTGCCTTTAAAGTCTATTCGTCTTTTATGTAGGTACAAGTGCTCTGCTAGAATACACATATATTATTAGTTTCATATACTTTACTGCCTAATGCATTCATGATAACGATTGTGCATTTCTGTGATACCAGAGTATGTGATTTAACAAGAACATGGCGTGAGTCATCTCAGTCTGGCAGCAGCTATGCAAATATGAGAGGTTAATTAAAAAAAAAAAGACCGCTTTCCATACCAGAAGGATTTTTAACAATTCATTATAGAGCTCTCCCTCCACAAAACAGACTGTGAACATTGATTGCACAATCTTAGCTCTCGTCTACACTGGAAAGGGTTTGCCATTGTAGCCAAACTTGTAGAGCTAAACCATCAAACTCTCTTAGAGGAGACAGTTTATACAGGTAAAAGAGTTTGTTTGCTGCTGTCTCTTCTACTTCCCTGAACAAAATAAGCTGAGCTGCCAAAAGTGCTTTTTTGACAGAAAAACTAGGGTTTTTGCCAGTACAGCTGTGTCATTTGGGCTTTGATTGTTTTCACACTCCTGACAAAGCTCTGTCGGAAAACTTTTAAGTGTAGACCAGGCCTCAGTAATTTGGGCTGCTGATTAAATGTGTTGCTATGAGGCTTTGTGTATTAATTCTGAGCGGTGCTCTAAGTGACATGGTTTTAGTTCTGCGCTGAACAGCCAGTTCTTTTAGAGATTGTCACACTGTAGGCCCCCAAATTTAGGTTGAATACATAGGTGCTGGAAGTAGAGGTGTGGGGGGTGCTGCAGCACCCCCTGACTTGAGGTGGTTTCCATTATATACAAGGTTTACAGTTTGGTTGAATGGCTCTGAGCACCCCCACTATAAAATTGTTCCAGCACCGCTGGTTGAATAAGAAAAAGAATAGCCCTCATTTTGTTTTAAATTCTATTCTGAACACAGAAGTTCTATTTTCTGTTTATTAAACAATTTGGTGAAAACACACAGTCATCAAAATCTTCTCCTTTAGTGCTGGAAACAGAAATGCAGCAACTTCTGGCGAGCCAGAAAGTGAAACTGACTAGAAACAGAAAGTGAAACTAAGCAGCCTCCTTCCATTGTCTAACTGTGCAAAGAAAGTGTAAACAAACAGCATTGATGGTGAAAAGTCAATAGGATTTTAAAAATTCATAACCATCCATATGTCATTTGCAAGAGAGATGGGTGAGTATGGGGCTAGACAGCTAGATTACATCACATGCACTGTATATCATTTGAGCACAATTATAGACACACAAGAAATAGCATGTAAAGAAATAGAATCCACAGAAAGTTACACACGGTAGAAAGATTTTGCTAAGTGTAATATAACATTGGCGACCCATTACCTTCACACATGTCTGGATTTGATTGACCTCTGGACATTCCTTACCTACCCCAAAGGATCTTTCAACAGCTCCCATCCTCTGCCCCGTGGTGCGACATTTTCATTACCCTAGGCAGTCTGGCTGGGGCTGTGACTTGCTTGCTCTCCCTGACTCCTTGCTGTGTTTGCTGCTACAGAAGCTTCATAAATACTTCAGAAATGTGACAGCATCGAGTTTCAGGCACTCCCAGTAATGAGAGCAAAATGATCCCTCACAGATGAAATTATAGCCCAGGTCATCAAGAAAATATTTCCACAATTGTCTTTCAACAGCGTGATAAAACTCTGCTGAGCAGAGAGCGCATGGCTCAGTGGCAGAGGCAACCTTTCAAACCAGATTCTCACCAGCCGAAGCGTGTCTTAACAGATTGGTCAGTAAGAGGTGCTATCATATTATATCCCCCACCAAGGACCTGACCCTTCATTCTAAACACAGCCATGTTTACTTCCACTGTGCCTGGGAATAACTATTTGCTGGGTTGGGCTTTAAGGCCTGGATCCTGGGAGGTGCTGAGAGCCCTCCACTCCCACTGATCTCAACGGGAGCTGAGGGTGCTCACTGCCTTGCAGGATCGGGCCCTGGGTGTGTGTGTTTTTGCACCACTTGCTCAGTTGAATCGAAGGTGGTTTAGCACAAGGCCTACACATCACTTAAGTCTCACTTAGGCCATCGAAACAAAACTTAAGTGGTACCTGAGTCCTGGGCTTGCCTTCTGCATGGGGCATATTTCACCCTTAGGCCCTAATCATGCAGCCACTTACGTACATGCTTCATTTTAAGTTAGCAATCTCAGATGGGCTAGTCACCCTGGTACAAGCCCGTGCTGCCATGCCTTGACTACTATTGTTACCCATGCATTAGAGAAAAAAATATTTTAAAACAATAAAACAATTACTCACATATTTACTCTCATCTAATTCAGAACTGATAAAAGGAGATACTTTTTTCACACCTGTGATTAGACTGTGGAACTCATTGCCACAGGAAGTCATCGGGGCTAAAACCTTCACAGGATTCAACAAAGGATTGGACATTTATATGGATAACAAGGACAGCCAGAGTTAGAATTTATGCTGACATACATTTTGGAGGAAATATTACACTTCATGCTTCCTGGCTTAAGAATGTGGTCTACTGAAAACTATGTTAAAATTACAAGCTATCACTAACTCATAAGGGGTTTCCTGGGTTTGGTGATATGCTAAGGAACTCTGTAGAGAATCGGGAGATCAGAGTCTGTCTGCAACCAGGTAGCTTCCTTAGAGTAAGAGGGGTTGAGTTGTCGCTCTTGGTTTTTTGGGTCCTTGTGTGTTATCATTCTGAAATCTAAGATGTAAAGAATATTACGTTGCGACCTTCCAGCAAGAGTTCTTCTTTATGTGTTTCTTTAACTTCTGTGTGCATATGCCATGAACATAACAAAGACAATCCCAGTGCCACTAGGGATTAGGAAATTTCTTGCACCTTTCCCTGAAGCAGCTGGTTCTGGCCACCGTCAGAGACAGGATACTGGGCTAGATGAGTCTGGGGTCAGATCTAGTCTAGTATATAGTGTTTCATTTCCCCCTTTGCCATGCGGTAACTTTATCAAAGTGGAGGAAGTCTGAACAAGTTACAGAGTGAAAAAAAAAGCGGGGGTGGGAAGTGTATGGGGAAAACCCTAGACATCCATCATTCTGTGGCACAGTGTAGCTAAAAAGGAAAAAGGGGGGGGAAACAAAAATTCCCAATTTTGAAAACTGAAATGAAATTTGCCATCAAAAATGCCCTTTTCCAGTGGAAAAAAAATCATTTTTGACTAAATCAATTTTTCAATGTTTTGTTGGGTTTTTTTGGTCAAAACATGTTGACCGTTTCTAATTTATCGGGGGGAAATGGGGTCATGGTGCTTATGAGAATAAGAATGGCAGCTGGAGTGACAACAGCTAGGATGAAAATGACAAGGCAGCCTCATGCTTCAGGCCATAATTTGATCTCCAGCTGAGCTGCCAGGAAGAAATGCCCTTCATTCCACACACCCCAGTCATGGGACATCATTTTTAAAGTTCTGCACCATGGAAAAGGCAGATTTAGCACCACCTTCGGAACAGGCTCCCACGAGCCTCCTCTTTCCTGATCCAGATGCAAAAAGGATTTAGGGGCCGAACGCTGAGAAGCACCTTTGTTGAGAGCACTGAGACCCTTCCCAGAGAGGATCAGAACCCTTGCAAGGCCAAGCCCTATCTAGCCAAGGCCATTTTGATCACATCCATTTGGGAGAAGTGTCCAGTGTAATCCAGAGTCAAGCCAGGTCCCCAAGGAGGGAATCCGATTATATGAACTCTGCTAGATAAGCGGATTACATAAACCTTACCGGATAAGCAGAAGCAAAGGTCATTTTATCCACAGGGACAAACACCCTCTTGAGTGGCAGGGAAATTGTTACTTGCTTCAGAGCATGGGCAAGGCCAGCTCCAGGGGAGTTGAGCTCACTGTTCATTGTGCTGGCATGGACGGAACAAGAACAACTCCCCAGCCTTCTCTGCTCTGACTTGCCGTGTTTCATCGAGCGCCATTCAGAGAGCAGAGAAAAGCGGCAGCAAGAAAATCTCAGGATTATTCGGAAGCACTTGGAGGCCCCACCCAAGATCAGAGCTCCCTTGTGTCACGCAGGGCACAGCCTCATGGTGAGAGGCGAGACAGGGCCTGCCCCAAAGAGCTTACAGCCTGAATGGACAAAGGAGGGGCGGGGAACCAGAAGTGCTTTGCTTAAGGTCCCACAGCAGAGCTGGGATTAGAATCCAGGCCTCCCAAACTGGTCCTCTAACCACTGGACCACAACACAGCAGATTAAACGGCCACAGCCGATGCTGATGCCCTATGTAGGAATTGCCACATCAGATCAGACCAATTGCCCACCTCAGCCTGTGTCCTACCTCCAACGATGGCCAGTACCAGCTGCTTCACAGGAAGGTGCAAGAATTCTCCTATAATGGACAATTACTGGGCCTAATCCAGCACCCACTGATGTCCATGTAAAGACTCCCATTGACCTGAATGGGCACTGGGTCTGGCCCAGAGAGACTGAGCCCTAAATATCTTGGTCCTGGTCCTGCATCCCTTGAAGTCAACGGTGGTTTTGGCGTGGGCTTTATGGGAGCAGGGCTGACTCCATTATGCAGAGAGGTAAGGACACCACACCAGAACAGATGCTAGGTCCGTCTGATCTGATGATATGACAATACCCGATGTTTTGGAGGAAGGCAAACAAAACCTGAATGAGGCACCTTACCAACTGGGCAAGTCTTTTCTTTGGTGAGAGGGATATTTTCATGCTCATGACTGGAAATCAGCATGGGCCGGCTTGTCACCTTGAGAGCACCTAGAAAGGACCCACTGTGCATGGATCTCCCCTCTTCTCTGGGGAAGGGAGGTTGGCCACCTGCAAGGCACTCTCCCACTGTTCCTGGATCCCACACAGCCTCTGCACATGGGAAATGTTGGAGGGAAGGTGGAGAAAGGCGGAGACAGGGTGAGGGGGAGCTGATGCTTCAGTGCCCCAGGCTAATATATCTGCGAAAAAGTAAATGCCCCCTGAATGAGGTACCAGGGAATTGGTATATGCAGGAAGTCTTGAAGCCATGCTGTCTGTGAGCTGGAAAGATCATAAGTCCTGAAGCTGATTCACTGCATAGACAGGTCTGGCCTTCTGGGATTTGCAGGTTTGTGGGTCTGAATGCATATGTCCGGAGGCGTGTGTTTTTGCACATCACTTGAAAGAACTGTGCTTGCTGCAAGTGTCTCATCCCTCTTGCACTTGCCTCCTTTTGTGTCTCAAAGATTTTAATCTTCCAGAGGAGGTGAACACCTGCTTAAGGACTTTTCAGGATCAGGCCAGAGTGCCGAGCACTTTGCAGGGTTGAGGCCCGAGCCCATACAGTGCTTTGGGAGTGCAGAAGACTGCAGAAATGGAAGGTTAATTTTTTTTGTAGTAACGGAAGGCGGAGTTAAAAATAACCTCATGCACAAAAGCCCAGGGGGAGCCACTTTCCCCTCCTCCCCCTGCCACAGGCTCACATAATTTATGATAATGATTTATAGGGAGCTTATTGCCAAGGCAGCTAAGGGTTTATTTACAAAATTAAAAACACCCCTCCATCACAGAAGATCTCCCCACTCCACCCCCATGCTGCCTCACTCAAAAACATCATTGCTCCAGTTGCCACCAGCAATATTAGCGGCCTCGCTTTCAGGCGAAAAACCTGACAGAAGAATGAAGACAAATCCCTCCCGAAGCTAAACCAAAGAAATGTGACTGGGCTGGGCAGACAACAAACTCAGACGCCAGCAGCCTCGCCAAGGGCTGAGCGTTCCCATGCCAGAGTCCTCCACTGAGAGCAGCCTGCTACCACTGCCGGGGTGGGTGCAAAGGTTGTCACATGAATCCTTGCCTGGGATAGCCCAGTCCCTAGTTGGGGTCTGTGTGTGTGCATGCACTGAGCCCTACATTGTAGGAAGAGAGGAGGGGAAGCGCATGAATGGGGGAGGAAGGGCTCAGCCCCAGGTGGGGGGGAAGCACATAATGGGGGGGAAGGGCTCATCCCAGGTGGGGGGAAGCACATGATGGGGGGGGAAGGGCTCATCCCAGGTGGGGGAGAAGCACATGATGGGGGGGGAAGAGGCTCACTCCAGGTGGGGGAGAAGCACATGGTCCACAGGTGGGGGGGTGAAGAGCTCAGCCCCGGGTGGAAGCGGGGGGGCTCAGCCAGGCTCCTGGCCCTTTAAACCCTGCCTTACGCCATCCCAGTGACGTCACCCAACTACACACCCTCATAACAAACTCGCCCTTTAAATCTTTCCCAGCAGAGCAACCCCCTACTTGGCCACGCCCCTCTCTGACCACGCCTCTGTAGGCGGGAGGGGGTGGGGGCGGAGCGTGCGGAGACAGCCTAACTGATGTTCCAGGTGGCTCCGCCCCTTTCCCCTCCCTGCCCAATGGGGAAGGGTCAGGGCGCGGCTCCCGCCCCCGCTCCCCCTGATGCGGAGCGGACAGGTTCGGTTGCGCCGCAACGGGGAGGGTTTTCCTGCGCCGCCATCTTGGAAGTGGCGGTGGGACTGAGCGAGCGAGCGAG